GATTTTTACGATTAAACCTACATTTAAAAATTTTACTTAAAATTATTTTAAAAAAAATGTGATTTGAATGGTAAATGTTCAAGTTTTGCATGCATTATTTACACGTGCATTTCATCAACATAAGTCGAAAAAATAGTCAAAATGTCTCTATTTAAATGATTATCATCGCGATGTGTATTATTTTTTAATTTCCGCTGCTGAGAACGAATTTTTTGCACTTACCAGCCGTGACGCCTTGCAACTGCTGGCGCGCAGATGATTTGGCGCCTGTTTGGCGACGGCCGAGCGTCTCGTAACCGGTAGACATAGTGCAGAACAGGGCCTCCAACACGAAACACATGGTGACCAGGTAACAGTCGAACGACGACCAACAGAACACATTCACCGTGAGTATGATGGACTCGACGACGTACACTACCGTCCAGATGGTGGGCTTCTCGTCGTACTCGGATTTTATGAACCAMGGCATGATCAACCACACGATCAGTGTGCCGAAGCTGAGCCCGACGAACGTGCGTAGTATTTTGGACAGCCTGGCCCTGCACAGGCGCAGCTTGGACGGGTCGCGGCCGCCGCAATTGGTGAACGCGTAGCGGGCCGCGTCCAGCGTGACGCTCATCCGGTCCGCGTTGGACGCCACCGTGTAGCCCTTGAGCAGGCACATCATCCCGTTGATGATCAACACGCCAAAGTTGGCGAACATTTGGATGTCATGCCTGGCCAGGTATAGCCTGTACACCTGCATCGATTGCAGCGCGAGCGTCAGGCCCACGACTACCTTTACGGCCGTCCGGCACAGGCCGGCATCAAGGCCGTGCTCGGCCGGCCGCAGCAGCTGGTAGGCACCGATCATTTTGAACAGCTTCTCGTCCAGGATCGTATAGTCTTCAATAGCGTCCTCCGCAGGAATTTSCAACGCCTCACCGCGACCGTCGACCTTTTCCGATGAACTTCCCRMCACCTCATTGTCGTCGGCTCCTCTGAGATTTTTCATYACCGCCTCGTTTACGTTGGCGTTGGTCACCGAAGCTCTCTGATGAAGGCTATTACTGTCGTGAAGTATAAATGAATTAGTAATAATTCGTTTATTTCCACCACAGTAAATATATTAATCCCCCCCTCTCACACACAACACATTATTGAACTATACATAAATTATTTTATTTTATTTTTATTAGTAATATACTAATACTATATAATAATAACAATGATATTATGATTTTTTTAAATGTGACAATAAA